CAACGGCGAGAAGCTGACCCAGGACGCGGCCGGACACGGCGTGGGATCCTTCTACCTCAACAACGACACCATCATCTCGGCCGAGTGGGACTTTGAGTGCATCGGTCCCCGCGAGATGCCCTTTGCTCAGTCTCTGCGCTTCAATGTTCGCGCCCTCGACGACATGGCCCTCTCGACCGACGCCTCCTTCTGGATGACTTTTAAGCAGACGGCTCCCATCCGTATCGCGGACGTCGGTAACGCTGCCTACGTCTGGAGTCTGTCCATGCCCTTTGCCTCCAAGGAAGACGCTCAGGTCCCGGTCGAGAACAATGACGACGAAACCAACGCGCCTCCCATCTGGGAGCATCCCCATTACGAGTTTCAGGACCCCGAGGAGGAGCTTCAGGTCGAACTGATGGAGCTCAACGCCCTTCACAAGCAGATCCTCGAGCTTGAGAGCCTCGTCAAGGAGCGCGAGGCTTCTGTGTCCAAGAAGCTGGGCAAGAAGTACCCTCCCCCGCCGCCCTCTACCATGAAGATGATCAAGCAATGCGACGGAGTCAAGTGTGTCGTGCACACTCTTACCGACAAGGTGAAGCACACGGCTCATAGACTATACGGAAGCATCTTTGGTCACCACCACGGTCCTCACCATCCTCATGGTCCTCACCACCACGGCAACGGAACTCATCACGGCCCACCTCATCATCCTCCTCCTTTCCCTGGTGGTCACCCTCCTCCTCCCATGTGCATGCCCTGCGAGTGTGCGCCTCATCATGGACCCCCTGTGCCACCTCCCCCTCCCCCGCGAAAGCCCGAGCACCCCCCTGAGCACCGACCTCATGAAGGTGGAAAGGAGCATCACTCGATGGCTTCGGAGCATGGACACCACGAGCACGGCCCTCACCACCACGATGGACCTGTATGTCTACCCCTTGAATATATCACAATTGATTCATGCTAACATTTGATAGCCCCCACATAACCCCATTGTCATGATCTTTGGTATGGGAGCCATCGCACTGGCCATCTTTTGCGGAATCTGCATCGCCTGGATTCACCGCCGAGTAAACCGTCTCTCCCCCGAGTCTCGCCGGGCCATCCGCCGAGCCCTCCGAAAGGACCGCCGCGCTCGCCGAGCTTCACGACCCACTTCGGCCTTCAAGGCCGCCATCCGCGCATTCTTCACCCACAACGATGAGGACGAGGAGAAGGAGGCCATGCTCCGTGAGGGTCGACAACGGAGGTCTTCTTCCGCTGGTAGTGTGACTATGGAGCAGGAGATTGCTCAGTTCCGTGAGGCCGCTTACATGGTTGAGGGACTTGTCACCGCTGAAGAGGGCCGCACTCATTATCATCCTCAACCTCACTCCTACGCCCCCGCCGTCTCTCCCCGTCCTCCCATGCCTCCTCACCACACTGCCACCACAGCCTACCCCGGCTTCGTCACCGACGAGAACCTCCCCTCATACGATGACCCTCAACACGACGCTTCAGTCGTGACCGACGGCTGCCGCTACACACCCGGCAGCTCCGACTACACGCCATCCAACACTGCTTCCAACGCCGATAATGTGCTGGGCGATTCCAAACACTGAGCAAAGATTGAAATGATTTTTCTTTTCCTTTTTCCTTGGGGCGCTTTGCATTATACCGATTTTTCTTGAGTCTTTTGATTTTCAACAAATAACAAACATGGGTGGTCTAGTAATGGTTTGTTTTTAGACGTAGCGATATATACCTCTATATGTCAAGGACAAAGCAGTCCTGAGATGCTCTCGCTTCTCCCTCAACAGCGAGATAGCAATCCGAAAATACAATATTTTTTAAGTCTAGTCTATCTTGCTCTTAGTGATGTACTTCTCTCACCCATGGATGAAGTCATTGTAGTTCTTGGCTATCCTTTTCACCCCCTCCTCGAGCTCCCAGCCTTTGACCTCACATACATGTCGATACATTTCCTCAAGTGATGCGTCCATGTCCTCGCCTGCAATGTGCAAATCACTCTCAATGAGCACGCTCTCATCAGGAAGGGCGCGCAACACCTCGTCAGTACGTGTGCTCGTAGCATCGGTGCTAAGATTCACAGCTGAAGACAATGAAACAAATATGCGCGCGGGTATGGCCGGGTGGAGGTACTGCTTAAGAACCTCTACACTACCGCTGAATGAGTGCAGACATATCCGCGGGGGATAAGGTTTATCCTCATCTTCATCCTCATCCGAGGAGAAATCTTCTGCTCCTTGAGCAACAAGTCGACGTTTCCGGCGTGTAATGACCTCTCGCTCATATCCTTTCCACGTCGCGGCGAGAGTTTCGTGCAGTACACCATGAGCCTGGACGCCGTGCACGCTGACGGCTCTGCGGGTCTCCGCTGCGAGACGGAGCTGGGCAGCGAGGATGGCACGCTGATGTTCCATTCTCACGCGGTGAGGACTAAGAAGTCGACCTTCTCGACCTCCTGGTGTCAAAGATTCATCACGACTGGCTTTGTCGGAAGGGTTCCATGGCTGTGGTAGACGGAAAGCCTTGTCGAGACCAATTTCACCAACGAGGGCTTTTGGGTGGGAATCCAAGAGGGTGCGGGTAGATTTGATAAAGGAAGACACGGGAGTCGGATCCGGGAGGGAAGCGATAAAGGCGGCATCGGGCTTGGGTTGTAAAACGGCGGCGTAGTGGGCCTCCTTATCGGGGCCGGGAGTGGAGTTTCCGGCGTCGTCGTAGAGGAGGTGGGAGAACCAGGGGTGCCACCCAAAGGCGGGAACGATATCCTTTCCGGGGGTGGTGCTGTCGGCAGCTGCATCTGCGACGAGCTGCTGGTCCTGAGCACGGGTGGCCATGATGGTGAGAGACGAGGCCCGCATGGCGGGGATATCAGAGAGGGATGACATGGTGTCTGTTGGATGACAGTGGGCGTCGCATATTGGAAGATGCCAAGGGAAGGGATCTTGAGCGGACATGATTGTGCTGTCTTTGATGGCGCGATAAGGTTTCGTGCAGATCGAGTGTGAATGAGTGTGTGATGCAGAAGGTTGATGTTGGTGTTGCGTGAGGCTCTCGTAGTGATGCGCAGCAAGGTATCCTCCACCTCCATAGTGGGGTGTGGAGTGTGTGGATCACGGTTCCAAGTGGGGGAAAAGAGAGACATGCATTTCCAACTGCCTGCTTGCAGATGCAATAGCAGGAAATGGTTAATTAGTTCCTTCCTAAAGCTTCCATCTACATGATGATAATGCTGTGGTACTCTAGCCATCCATTGCTCCTGCCGTGATACTGTAGTACTTGTTCGCAGAACCTCGGCTTCCTCCTCATGTGACGTGCGTGGTTGTGCCAATTACCACATCACGCCTAAGCTCCAACCTTGGGACTAAACTCTAGATATCTATCCAGGGTCTTTTTTTTTCATCTGCCGTTTATTATATCTATGCTTCGAGTTATATGCCATATCTTTCGACTATACCCTCGTCATGATGGCGCAACCATGCTTTGTATGATAACACCTCATACACATACGATATCCTTCCTATTCATCAATTTCTTCTCCGTCTTGGTATCAGACTGCATTGACCTTCCCCCGCACGGTTGTGGCGATATGCGCGCCCCAGGCCAAGAAGCGCGGCGCTTGTGCAAGTCCGCGTCTTTCACATGTGATCGCCTGCGATATGTACTCCGTACTCTTCAACTCTTTATCCCCTTCTAGACTCTGTTGCTACCGCACAGATGTTTTCCCCCGCTTCAAGCTAACACGCCTCATCGAGACCGGAAACGACCACCAGCCTCCGCGGCGCCTGTCTTTCTCTCGGCAGTCCTATCACGTCCCTGCGGCTTACATCCCTCTAGAAACGGGCATGTAGTTCTGAGTGTCTCCCCCTCGGTCCTCCTCCCATCCATCTTCCATATTCCCCCATCTTCAAGCTTCTGTTTGTTCTTTGTCCTCGCAAAATAAACTCGTCTGTAACCAATAACTCGCCCTTATCTTTTTGCTCGTGGCCATGTCCTGTTAGCCTCCCATGGCGCTCCTCAATCCCGTCTACGCCTTTGTCGTGCCATTTCTCTTCGTCGTTACTGTTCCTTTGGCTCTGTTTGCCGGCGTCACCACCACAATCGCCTTTTCCGTCCTCATCCTCCGTGTCCTCGCTGTCTACATCGACGTCGCTTTGTCTTTTGTTCCTCATTACTTGGGTGGCCGCAAGACTCGTCCATATCCTCACAACTATCGTCCTCATCACCAATTTCTCGACGCTCCTGCTCCAGGCTCGCTCTTTAATAATACGTCTCTTTCATCATCTGGATCCACGGCTCTCGAGTCTTGTCTTCGGCGTCGGCGTCATCGACGAAGTTCTAGCGCCTTGTCCACTGCCGGCACAGTCACGCCGGTCAGTGAAAAGGCATTCGGCCTGGTTCCAAGCGTTGGCCCAGACAGAGATTTCGAAGGTGTTGGAGGATGGCGTCTTGGGGGTGATGACGAGACATGGACAACCATCAACTCGCGGCTTGAACTGCCAGACAAGCAACACCACGGCCGGAATCATCATCGTTCGCCCTCTGGTCCTACAACTCCAGGCGAAGGCGGGTACCTCATGATGAAGGGCCGCGCACCGAGTCCAACAAAACGCACTTCGGCTTCTCCAAACAGCTCCCGCACGAGGACGCCTTCAGGCCCTCGCATCGGCTTTGGGAACAAGTCATTTGTCGACAGCTACTTTCCCGCCCTCAAGACCTCGCCCAAGGGTATCAAGAGACTCCCAGCACAGGGTCTTGTCGACGCCTAATCTCTCGAGACTGAGCTCTCGTATGTATTTTTAACGATTTGATGAGGATAGGTGGACGGACGGCAGGGTATTAAAAGTGTCGCGATATCAGCGAGGCTATCTATCTTTTAATGGCGTTTTGAGCGATATGATGCTCTCTTGGTTGGGTTCTTTGGAAATGTCACATATACTACAATGTAGTTAGCAGCGGGATACAAGACTGTAGAAGCAACCATGAATGTTTCTCATGGGTTGAATGAATACATTGTACGACTCGTCGTTATCCTGGTATATCTAACGCCCTCAACGCCAGTCCTTCCATCATGAAACATTACACATCTGTGACACTGCCTTTATAGAGTCTGCCAGAAGTAGTTTGCGTAAAAGAAGCGAGAAAACTTCTTGTCCATGTTGACCACGTGGACGTCACCCTTGCGGTCGTTCCGTATCACCGCCTTGGACCACTCCCCGTCTCTTTCGTCCCTCTCGAGGTCGATGCCCAGGCTACGATACACCTTGAGTCTCAGAAGCACCTCGTCATCAACGGGATCTCTTCGTCTGGCCGCGGCAGCCGCATCACCCTCAACACCCTGGAGCTCCAGCTCGTGCAGCCGCGCCTTTAGATCCGCAGCAGCGAGAGCAAGCCGCTCAGCCTCCGTTTCAGCATCAGCAGCAGCCTTGGCAGTTCTAAACTTCAGCGTATCGAGCCGCGCAATGTTTGACGCGTGGTCCGCCGACGAGTGCGAAGTTACGAGGTCATCGTGGCGGGACGTGTGGGTCGCGAGCTGGCGGGAGAGCTTCTTGAGCGCCGTCTCGGCCTCGCGGGCGCGGAGGTCACGGGCTTGCTGAAGAGTTGAGAGGGACTCTGTGATGCGCGAGACGGCGAGCTTGTCCGGGTTGATGTTGAAGTTGTTGATTGTGTGGTGGATGAGCTGGAGGGTGTTAGTTTGTGAAGGGGCGGACGGGAATCAGGGGCTTACGGTTGCTGGTTCTTCCGAGAGCAACATGATGGCGGTTTTGATGTGGTTTTTCGTCTTTGTGTGTTGTGTGCGATCTTATTCAAGTCAAGACTTATTCAAATGCCAGATTGAACAACGTGTTAATTGAAGTCGGAGTAAAACCAAGTCTGCGTAATCGGTGATCTATCCCTGGTGTTTTGCAGCCCTATCGGGACGTGCCTCGGTCGCCACGACGACAATCAGCTTATCAGCGCACGTGCCCCCACCGTTCCCCATAACCGATCTTTTACCGACGCCGCACATCGTCATTGTCCCGCCACAAGTTTCTACCCACGCCCCCCAGGCCCCAAGAAGAAAAGGCATCGGAAGCCCAAAGAGAGCTTACGGGTCCCGTTCATTGCCTCTTTGCTTCCATAGCACGTGCTCATAACTCTTTGGCTGTTGCCTCCTGGGACCTTTGTTTGCAACGTCTTCGTTCTGGGACAATTGATCTTCTCTCCCATCGCATCTTTGTCTCTTCCCCTCCACAGTCAAAATGGTTACCGAATTACCATGTGAGTTTGCGCTTTCTCTACACCCGAGATCATGAACCTCGCTAACACCTTGTAGATGCCCTCGACGCCGAGACGTTTGTCCTCCTCCCCAATCATGCATAACGATATCCTGACTTTCCCTACCACAGGCCGTTGAACCCCTCGGAACTCGGCGTCCTACGAGCCCAATATGAACGAGAAGGAGAAATGGTTGGTGTCCAAACCAAGTTCAACTACGCCTGGGTAACTACCCCTCCTCCCCTCCCTCGCTTGCCTACAACTAACATTTCCCCCTCCAGGGCCTCGTCAAGTCCAACGTCCGCACCGACCAGCAACTCGGCGTCCGTCTCCTTTCGGACATCTTCCGCATCTCTCCCGAGCGTCGCCGCGAGTGCCTCTACTACCTCGCCCTCGGCAACTACAAGCTCGGCAACTACGGCGAAGCCCGCCGCTACAACGACCTCCTCCTCGACAAGGAGCCCGCCAACCTCCAGGCCACCAACCTGCGCCAGCTCATCGACGACAAGGTTGCCCGCGAGGGTCTCATGGGTGTCGCCATCCTCAGTGGTGTTGGAGTCGCCGCTGGTGTCGTGGGGGCTTTCCTGCTGAGGAATGCCAGAAAGAGGTAGAGTTTTGTCAAAGGAGAGTTTGACGAAACATGACGGAGAAGAAGGAATGGGGGCATAATGCGCGTGGGCTTGCCATGACTACACTACACTATACTACTCACTCTTGACGATTTTTAACCATGGGGAGCGCGGCATGACGAGGAACGGGCGGAGTCTTGACCTTGCTGGTTAATGTACTACTACTATATGAAACAAGCGTCTCTTAACATCCATCACATACTCTATGCCTCTTCTACCAAGTCATGACCGCCAGTGAGTTGATACAAGTCTACTCTCAATGCCTTACATACAATGAAACATGCAATGGTACAAACACAAATCACAATTATCTAGCTCAGACTCTTGCAAGTAGTACATCTCAACACACAATCACAACACAGCAAATACACTCAGACCCTAAACAAACGGAAACACTGTTAAAGAAATCAAAGATCAAGCCAGCTAAGAAACAAGAAAGAGACGACGCATGACCATCTGAGGCGTGTCGCCTGCTGAGACATAATAAAAAAGCACCCAGTCTCAACAAACACACGGCTAAAATACAACAAGTTGCTGCTCAACCTTCCCCCGTGCTAACCATCCGTCTGCTCCTGTCTAGTTCAATCCATGGCCGATGCTCCATCTGGCCGCAACGGGGAAAGAGGGGTATCCGAAGGCACAGCAGGTGAAAAGGTAAAAGGACAAGTCGTCTTGGGCAGCATCTCCTCCATAGATAGGTATTAACCATCCCACACCTGACCGGCACGTATCGACGCTCAACGTCTCTCCCAGCGAGCAGCGCTCCTGACACGAACACCTTCGCCATAATCTGCTACCTTTTCTCCAAAAGTATTCTTGCAGCAGATCCGAGAGGTCAGCAGGTTCCCATGCGTGCCGTAGGGCATGGTCCAAAGAAGAATGCTCGCCAAGACAACCTGCCACGCCGAGACACCTGCTAGGCCGTATAGTCTGCACATCCCGCCTTGCATGACTATTCTTCATAAAAGACTTTTTGTTGTTCCGTCTCCGTACGACAATCATTTCGTTTGGCGTATGCGATTAGGGGACGTGGTTTTGTTGTTGATTAAAAAGGGTGAGAGAAAGAGGCGACAAAGAAACGAGAATCGAATACAACGAGGGGCGTCGAGCTGGTATTGTATGGGCATCATGGGTACTCAGACATGGATAACGAAGAAGGGAGAAAACAGTCCGCAGGTCGTTAGAGCGCAGGCAACTTAGCGCAGGGAGAAGCCCTTTCGCTTGCCCTCCTTCTCCAGTGGCCGTCCGCTCTCGATGCGCTGCTTCTTGTCTTCGAGCTCCATTCGTTGGCGGTCGAGTTGCTCCTTCATCTCCTTGTGTCGGGCATACAACTCTTCCTCTGACTGCTTGAGCTTGCTCTCCTTTTCGGCAACCTTTTGCTGGAACACCATCTTCATCTCCGCTTCCATCTTGGCGAGCTTCTGCTCGTGCAGGGCGCGCTCCTCTTCCTGCTTGACGGCGGGGTTGACCTCCTTGAACACGCTGGGGTCTTGCGACACGCCCATGGCGAGCAGCTTGTCGGTACGGTAGTTCTCGTACAGCTGGTTGTTGGTGTGCTCCTTGAGCTCCTCCATGTGGGTTCGGATGAGCATCTGTCGGAGCTTGACAAAGTCACAGTGCTCCTCGTTATCCACCTCGATGATACCCCAGGGGTAAGCACGGCCACGGATCTTGCGACCATCAGCGCTGGTGATCTCGTTGTTGGCACCAACAACGGCGAAGGGGACCTTGGACATGATCTCGTTGTTCTCCGCGATCGTCTCCTCGTCATCGAGCTCGTATCGGGGGCCCTCGAAGATCTGGATGCCGTGGTACTTGATGTCGGCCAGGATCTGTGCATGGTTAGCATTTGATGTCTAGAATAGCGACGGGTAACGTACTCTAGCCTTGAAGTTGGCAATCTCCTCATCAGTGAGGGTATCAGCCTTGGCAATGACGGGGATCAGGTTGACCTTGGTGTGAAGGCGTCGCATCACCTCAATGTCGAGAGGCTTCAGAGAGTGGCCAGTGGGCTGGATGAAGAAAACACAGGCGTGAATTCGGTTGTCGACAATGTTCATGCGGTTGACCTTGTTCTCGGCATCGAGGTATGAGTCAAATCGCTGCTCAATGTTGTCGACAATTGGGCGCCACGACTCATCGTTGTTCACAAAGTCACCGAATCCAGGGGTGTCGACAACAGTAAGGCGAAGACGGACACCAGCCTCCTCAATGTCGGCGCTGATGGACTGGATGGTGACGGTCTTGGGAATGATGTCAAGGCTAGGGCCCTTGCGCTCCTTGGGAGGGTAGAGCGAGGTGTTGAAGAGGGTGTTAACCAGAGTAGACTTGCCCAGGCCAGACTCGCCTAGTACTGTTAGCAGACTCCTAGAAAATGGTGGTCGTTTAACTTACCAACAACCATCACGTTAAAGTTGAAGCCCTTGCGGACACTCTTGCGGTGCCACTGGTTGGGCAGGTTGGCGAAACCAACATATCCAGTGAGCTTTCTTCGGACAATGTTCCGGTTGTCAGCGGCGGGAGGCGGCTGGGAGGGAACTGTGCATGGTTAGTGGAAAGCTAGATAGAAGTCGGGTTGTAACTTACCATTAGGGGGCGAGGCTGAAGGGGCCAGAGCCGGGGATTCGCTGCCGGGAGAAGCTATTAATCGTGTTAGTAAATGACGAGAAAAATTGAAGTATAAATATTATGGCAGATGCAGAGGCAAGAGGTGTCCTGACTCGATGGATCTGCTGCATTCCGTTGGCCACTTCCGAGGGTCAATCTGGCGATTTTCTTGGTACTGATTCTCGCGGGTCTGGGCTGATTCCAATCGGGCGACTGGGTAGGGTCGACGTATAGCTCGTCGAAGCTCATTGGATTCATCGGGCTCAATGTAGGCGGTTCCTCTGCTTCGACCTCGAGCATGCTGCGATACTGTTGGACGGTTGCACGGCTAGGATCAGGAGATGGGGATTGGTTCTCCTGTCCTACCGGGAGGCTGCTCGCTCGCTTGGAATCATTGGACGTTTTCGCACTCGACTCGACAGGAGGTGCAGAAGTCAAAGAAAATGTTCCCTTGTCGAAATGCACACTCCGGGTGCGAGCCTTGACGTGTTGGATCAGGTCGAAGGTCATGGCTGATCCAGGGGTTGCAGTGAAGAGCTGATTCTCGACAGGAATGCTTCGAAACCAAAAAGGGGCTAAGAACAAGACCCAAGAAAGCGTAGATGGCGGGAGAACGAATGTCGTCGCGTTATCGAGAGGCGATGGTGATGATGGGAGAAGCCGGTCCAGTTCCAGAGTAAGTTGTCCTCGTGGCCAGGAGGGGGCAGCTCCTTCTTCCTCTCCTCTGCCTCTGCTGGCTGCCATGTGGCGTGGTCTGCGCACGCGAAAAAGAAAGAGGCATCTTACCCATAGTGATGTATCAAGAACGATCGATGAAGGGACTCGTGGGAAAGTACGAGTTCTGGAGGTCGAGGTTAGCTACATCAGGGGAAAGGCCAGCTATACGAGCTCGGTCGGTTCGTAGGGAGACGACGGGAGAAAGGGCCTCGGTCGACACAGAAGCCACCTAGGCTACAGGCGCATCCGGTGAGTTGTCGAGGCAAGTCTGAGTCGATCGAGGGCGCGCTTTCTCGAGTCGTGGGTGATTCGGGGCGGGCAGGGAGAGTCGAGAGGTGGAACGAGGACAGTAACTCACCCGGAATTAATTGCCAGGAGACGCGTGTCAATGGGCGTCGCAACAAGGCAAGACGAAGATTAGAAGGAAGGCCTCAAAGTGTCGACACGAAACCTGCTCTCACGCGCGATGGGAGGCGATCGAGAGAAAGGACTTAGCAATGATGAGGAACGGAACGGGGGTAAAAGAGAGTCGAAGGAGAAGAAGGGAAATTTTGGGTGCGAGCGACAGGCGGAACAAGGAGACGAAATTCTGATGTGCTGTTCTCCCCCAGCAGAAGCGTCCTTGGGCAGAGCGTGCTGGCCTGGTCCTGCAACAAAAGGGGTTTGTGACGCTATCCCTCAAGGGGACTAGCGCCTCAGGGGGCGGGCTCCCAAATCCCAAGGCCCAGGGGCAAGCTCTGGAGAATTAGCGGGCAGGGCTGCTGGAAGGTCGCTGGGCGGCCACTGTGGCTCCGCGCTTCTGATTGGTTTCTGTGGGTACGGGTCCAATTAACGGCCTGGACAGGGGTTAAATGGCATTGTGCTGGAGCTCTCCCTCCCCCCAATCTCCCAGCCTCAAGCGTCAAGCAAATTACCCGTACTTGGTGAGACGTAGTAATAAGGCTCTGGGCTGCAGTCACTGAGTCTTGGTTCGTTTGGCTGTTGATCTTGTTTCCTGTTCGTGGAGTCCCTTTGATGGAGCTCACAGCCCAGCGTCACTAGGAGCTTCCCTAGGCTCCGAGCTTAAGCTTGGTTCCAAAAGGGGAACGGCAGTCCAGGTCGCGTCGCATGGGACGACGCGCCAAGGGATTCGGCATCTCGAGACGACAATCTTTAAGGAGGTTGCAGTTCTCCTATCTCTGCGCAGGATAATGCATACTCTTAATATGATGCGGTGGCACGAACAATCTCAGCCATCATGGTCTCAACTACTGCCATTCCTCACGCAACACGGCACAGCAAGGCAAGACATCAAGGAGCTCAGCCAAGCGCCAGTGAACGAGTGGACTCAAGCACAGCAAGACATGCCCGCTCCTAGAAATTGACTAGCAAAGGGTCGGTCTGTGTTGAGGGTATGCAACTCCTTTCTCACAGTTGTGAGGTAGTTGCCTTCAGAAGCTCCAGCTCCTAGCTCCAGAGCTCTATCGATACTGTACTGAGTCAGTATCGACAATGACATGCTCGTCTTCAAATGTGCCAAACTCTCCTGTCTTCTCTGACCGTCACATCGCCCAAACGCTGTCAAGTGGCGCGCCTCGGCCGCTCCCACGTCTGTGCTAGAGCCCGTCCATCCCTCGTTTATTCCCCGTCAAACATCAAACACAGCCAACTTCCCGTCCGTCAAGTGTTTCCTTTGCCATGGTGGGTCTTGGACCCCGGCCCAGGCCGGCTCCGCCAAGGTGCCACTCGACCGCCTCTCGATAGCATCCATCCACGTCACTCGACATGAGCCAACCCCGTCTCACTTACAGTAGTAATACGTGGTCGACGCATGTATCGCTGTGGCTATTCGTCCGCCTCGATTTAAATACTGTGCAAATCTTTGATCAAAGACTCAGTAAAAATTGCCAATTCTTTGCGAGTCTATCCGGAAACACGTTTCTCCAACCGAGACAGACGCCAGAAAGATGAACCTCTTCCAAGGGTTATCATAAAGGGTTAGAGGAGCTTAGGAAACAACGCGTAAGGGACTATTATGATATTACCTATTTTTATGGTAATTTTATATTTTATTTATGTTGATTTTCTACCATGTACGCCAGAACGCCAAACCGATTGCCTGGTGCCCTCGTTGCTCGTGGTAGTTATAGGGTAGCCAGATGATCATTAACGCACCCCACCTCATCCAAGTTATCAGCCGCCTTCTTCGGCTTTCTCTTCTTATTCTTCTTGTTCTTGTTCCCTTGTGAGAGAGTAGAGGGCGCTCCTGGTACCATCTTGTATTTCGGGGTATTAAGTTCAGGCCCACTAGTTGTGTCGTCCCTCGGAGTGGCGACGGTTCGGTCGACGGTCCTGTCCGGGAGGTTGAATGGTTGAGTTGTGGAGTTTGAAGAGGAATAAGGAACAGCTATTTTATACTTGACCAAAAAATAGAAAAAAGACAGACTCAATACATTGAAACCAAAGGCGATGGTCTCCTGGCTGGCCTGTCTCCCAAAGGTCCGTGAGAGTAGCTGGGCGGGCAAAAAGACCCAAGAAAGCACGGGCTGAGTGCCCGTGAGCCACTAACGTCGAGAGAGGCAGTGAGATTGACTGAAGCTGACGGCTCAAGTCGCCGACGACAGGTCCGGTTGCAGAGGATGAGCGGCCTTCCATGGCGAGTGAGCGTGGGACGGTAGGCTGCTCGCCCAATCGTGGTCACTTTGCTTTCCGCCTCCTTGAAGGACAATCCGAAGGATGGCCCCAACCGAGGCTGGTGAGGAAGGGAAAGCTGGGGATCTAAATAGATGCCAAGATAAAAAGAAGTACACACGGAATGTGAGAGCGAAAAAGAGTAGTGCAATTGAGTGACCAGATAAACTTGGGAGGGTTGAACCGTCAAGTGTTGAGGACTCACTGTTGGTGGCACGACCAGGCTACGTGGAGGAGGATAAGAGAGCTGCCTTGAATGGATACATTGTGCAACCGAGAAACCCCGACCGTCGGCATCAATACCGGCAGCTTTTCAATAATCTCATTGACTGAAAGCTAGACAGAGAGGAAACCTTTGTGATGTTCAAGTTATCTGATCTTGATCAATCTGATTCACGTGATGGCAAGCAAAAGATACGTACTGTATCTAAGAAAAGGGTTGAAAAGTGGGGCGAGATGCGTGGTGGCGCGCGGGCTGCCGTTAGGACCCACAAAGCTAATCCGAAATTGGTAAACACTCCATATGATGCAAATCTGAAATCTCGAAACGCATCCAACTTCAAGACGAAGTGTCCGAGTGGTTTAAGGAGTGAGACTTGAAATCTCTTGATATCTCATGGCTTCGGCCGCGCAGGTTCGAACCCTGTCTTCGTCGTTCAAATCGGAGCTCTGTAGAATTTTCTACGAATTTTCTTTTTGGAATACGTTTTTGCTCACCACCACATGAGTCTGGGCTCTCATTGTGAAATCTTGCCTATGGCCTGCTGTAACTCAACTGTAGGAACAAGTTTCGCCAAGTGGTGGAAGCGTTGTTCATATTCCCCGGCCTCCAGAAGGCGAAATGTGCTGCTAGGGTGCTGCTTCGACGTGAGCGGAAATGATGGCCAAATGCTTATCCTACAGCTCTGCCCTGGCAAGTACAGAGAGTTCAGTGATTGCCCGATGAAGCTCCAAGGTGGTGGACAATTATCTTAGTCGACGCTTGGTCAATGGTGGTTAACGCTACTCGCACCGCGCCGACCAATTTTAGTCGGTGGCTGGTAATATTAGGCGACTCGTGTGGTTTTTTTTTAGATGCAGAAATTCCATTTGAGTGATTTCCTATAATTGTAACTCATTCATTCTCATAAGTGTTCGCGTCCTGGTCCAGAGTGTCACTTGGTGCAGGGAGAGTGGCTCTACAACACACCGCCACCAAGATAGATCATACTGCCAGCAAAACCTACATCGGGAGCAGTCCATAGTCATTCCTTAGTACTGTATTTATTAGCCAAATTACTCGTTGTCGAACACAAAGAGGCCTCAACGGCAATGGCCTGTCAAGCCAGTGCTTTCACCATCCTTCTACGGCGGCAACACAGCCGCTCGCAAGCTTTCAGCTTTGGTCGGTTTGGAAGCCGGATTTGTATTTGTCCTTCTTTCCAACCCTTGTTTCATCATGTAATGCGAGCCCCTGCCCTGGGCACATGTTGGTGGATATCGAGGTCGTCCATCACCAAATTCGGAATAGACAACGTGGCCGAGTGGTTAAGGCGATGCCCTGCTATCCTGCATATCTAGGCATTGTGTTCGCACGCGTAGGTTCGAATCCTGCCGTTGTCGATGTTCTTTTTGCTCTTTTCAATCATGTTTTTGTTGGTGAACTCGGTCTCTTGACTGTGTGGTGTTTGTGGCTCATCCGGACATCACTTGACGTTTTGTCACTTCTGGGAGAAAGTCTTGGTCTTTTGAGGCTTACAGCGCCATCATACTCTCAACCAGCATCGCTTTCATCCAAGCTATAATTCTTCTGCATTTCTTGCTCAAGTTGTTGCTTGCGCTGGCGTCGGTGACCATTGTTTTCTCCCGTTTTATGCTGAGGAAGTAAGGTCCGGGCCGTGTGGGGCCGTGTGGGGCCGCAACGTTGACGCATCACCGACACAGCAGGGCAAAGAAATGATCATATTCTGGTCTAAGGATAATCAAAACGGTGTACTATATAAGGGACTTCTACAACATGCTAAATCTTGACCGCAATGCGACCACTGCGGCAAGTTCGGGCACACCGCCGATGCCTGTTGGCATACCTGTGGCTGGCGACCGGCCTGGTTCATGTTGTGGTAGAGACCGATCTTGATGTTGCCCTAAGCATCATCTTGGATGCCTGAATTATCGGGCTAGGCCTGGTGTCCAGAGTCAAGTATAAATGCTAGCATACCTAGATGTGTTACAATGGGAACATATCAGTGCGGGGTCAAGAAGAAGGAAGCCACAGAGGAGGCCGTTCAAGTGGCCGTGCAGGCTGCTGTCGCGGTATGACCTTCAACTGGCAGACGCCAGCATATGTTCTGCCGTCCAGTGAGTTGAGTCTTTAATACGCCTTACCTAAAAGACCTCGCATTCGTCGAACAAAAGGCCTAAAGTTGTATGAGACTTATGATATCATATCATAAAGTATGTATAAAAAGAAACATAAAATGATCGTAAGACGATCATAAGGTCAGTCTCAGACCGAACCAGAGAATGAAGCGAAGAGTTGCCATACGGCGTTTCTATATAGAGTAGACCCAACCACTCAACCCGTAAGCCACTAGACCTGCCCTGAAAGACTACACTTTTGATTACACATAAACGCTCGCGCTCCCGAGCTATAATACAGTGTCATGCCGAACCACTCATAAACATTACTTGTACACATGGCCCCCTAAACTAGACCAGCCTGCTGGCTCGCAAAGAATCGCTTCGACTCGGCACACCGCTCGCTCTTGCAGCCGGGGCATCGTAGGCCCATCTGGGCTGAGCAAGCCTGGTTCTCAGCCAGATGTGCCTTGGCAATGTCGGCCAGAGCCTGGATGAAGACGGGGCTTCCGTTCAGCGACTCTACTCGCTTGACGGTATCTCGGTGGCCACTCTCGCCAATCACCTCCTCATCCAGCTCGTAAAGAGTCTCGATGTGATCCGATGTGAAGGCAATGGGGATAAGGACAAGGTCCGTTTGGCCCTTGGCGATGTACTCCTCCACACTGTCTGCGGTCTGAGGTCCCAGCCAGGCGGATGGGCCAACCTGGGACTGCCAGCATAGTCGGTATGGGTTAGAGAACTTGAGGCGCTGCATGACAGCATATACGGTGGCCGCGACCTCACCGGGGTAAGGATCACCTGATGTATGTTAGGTCCGTTCATATTTCCGGGGGAGAGAGCACAAACCTCTGTTAACAACCGACATGGGAAGGCTGTGCGCAGAGAAGAGCAGGACAACATCCTTGCGACGGTCCTCAGGATACTCTGCCAGTTTCGCCTCAATGTTCTGCGCAAACGCCTCGACCAGACCACTGTGGACTGGCCAGCGATCGATGACACTCCATGTGATGCTGCCATCGCCAGACTCCTTGTTGGTCTTGCCCTCGAGCCTGTGCCTCCACTTCCAGAGCTCATTCAAGCTGCTGCCCGTTGTCGAGCAGGAGTACTGGGGATACTGGGTGAATGCGACGGCCCTGCCGCCACGGCCATTGCCAAATCCGTCCTTCAGCAGCTGAGTGTACATCTCCTCGGTCAGAGGATCCGCATATCGGAAAGCCACATATGGCTTATGGGGGGCGGTCTCGGGGGAGATCTTGTCCAAGATCTTGCACATCTCGGAGCTCTGGTACTCGGACCACTTTCGAATGGGGGATCCTCCACCGATGGCATCGTATTGCTTCTGGATCTTGGGGGTTCGTCGCTTAGAGATGAGAGGGCCGAGGTAGTTTTGTAACCGACCGAGGGGGATCAAGTCACCGTCAGCCTGTGCAAGTTAGCATCTCCGAGGGATTCCGGGACGTCGGTGATACATACAAAGAGGCGACTGAGAAAGTCACCGACTTCATCGAGAGTAGAAGGTCCTCCCATGTTGAGAAAGACCATGGCGGTCGGGCCCTTGGAGCCTGTGGCATCTTGTGTGACGGGTGGGACTGGGGTGGCCAGGTATCGCTTCTGGCTGGCGATCTGAGGGAGCGCAAGACGATGGGAGCTGGCCTGGGAGATGCCCTTGTAGAGCTGGCCCCCGGAGCGTCGCAGAGCCATTGTTGGTGAATAGACTGAAAGGTGAAGCACAAAAGGAGAGGAGAGAACGGCCGAACGTCAATTGGCAGTGGTGTGAGTGTTGGTAATGAGAAACAGCTGAGGGGTGTAAGAATTATTATGTATGGCAGCTAGGGCGGCGATGATGCACGCATTTCCACGGTCTCCGGGATCGCCAGCAGTGCATCTTATCGGAATTTTCACCGAGAGATGTTGGGCGCTAGCAGGAACCTCGGCCACTGCGGAATGTCCGCAGCAGCACATGTACCTCTTAACATGATATTCCGCACCAATCATGAAGTTGGTAATCACTCTCCAGACTTACTCACGTGACCTCGCGACAGGCAGCATCGCGCCCCCCTGTTACAGAGGTCGCGTTTGCCTAGAGCTATGGCCCGCAGGATGAGATCACTCAGCTCTTTAAGTTCCAGCTGACGCGCAATGAGAACCATCATTTTGGCATAACACACACATACACATCGACAATGGCAGACAAGCAAGATTGGCGTCGAGAAGATGAAGATGAGGGGGAGCAGGAGATTGATGAGAACGTGAGTATCAAAGCTCTTACTCTCCTACACCATGTTGATCCACTTTTAGAGTTACAAGGCGCAAAAGGATGCCATCTTGCTCGCGATAGATGTGAGCAAGTCAATGTTGGAGCCACCGCCGCACTCGGATTCAAAAAAGGCAGACCGGGATAGTCCCGTACAGGCAGCGTTGAAATGCGCCTATCATCTGATGGAGCAGCGCATCATCTCCAATCCCAAGGACATGATGGGCATTCTCCTATTCGGCACTGAAAAGTCCAAGTTCCAAGACTCGGGCGATGGTCGCAGTGGACTCGGCTATCCTCATTGTTACCTATTCACTGATCTTGACGTCCCCGCGGCAGAGGACGTCAAGGCCCTGAAGGCTCTAGTTGAAGAGGGGGAAGATGAGGATGAAGTCTTGACACCCTCTGAGGAGCCAGCCAGCATGGCCAACGTGCTCTTTTGCGCCAACCAAATTTTCACAACAAAGGCCGCAAACTTTGGAAGCCGTCGCTTGTTCATAGTGACCGACAACGACGATCCTCATGCGTCTGACAAGCAAGCAAGATCAGCCGCGGCTGTTCGTGCAAAGGATCTGTATGATCTCGGCATCATAATCGATCTCTTCCCCATCACTCGAGGGGACGAGACCTTTGACCTGAACAAGTTTTACGATGTAAGACTCGCCTCAAAACATGGCCAACTCAGCTAACAAAACAAGGATATCATCTACCGTGACCCAGTTGGGGAAGCCAACATGTCAGAGATTCGCACCTCCAAGTCTGGAGATGGACTTACCCTGCTCAACTCGCTCATCTCGAATGTGAATTCGAAACAAACAGCGAAACGAGCACTCTTCTCAAACTTGCCCTTTGAGATTGCCCCAGGACTGCGAATCTCGGTTAAGGGATACAATATTGTCCACCGCCAAACGCCCGCCCGCACCTGTTACATCTGGCTCGATGGCGAGAAACCCCAGATTGCCGCAGGCGAAACTACTAGAATCGCCGAGGATAGTGCCCGAACGGTCGAGAAGGGAGAGACAAAGAAGGCGTACAAGTTTGGCGGCGAATACGTCTATTTTACCCCTGATGAGCAGAAGTCCCTGAAGGATTTCGGATCACCAATCATTCGCATCATTGGCTTCAAGTCAAGGAGCCAGCTTCCCATCTGGGCGAGCGTCAAGAAGTCTACCTTTATCTTCCCCAGCGAAGAGGACTTTGTCGGCTCGACGCGAGTCTTTACTGCACTGTGGCAAAAGCTACTCAAGGACGACAAGATTGGTCTTGCATGGTGCATCACCCGAGCTAACGCGCAACCGATACTCGCGGCCATCATTCCATCTAGAGAACGGTCTGATGATGAGTCGGGAACACCATACTTGCCCGCAGGTCTTTGGATCTATCCCTTGCCCTTCTTGGACGATTTGCGAAGTATCAACCCCCCAGGGGAAGTGGTGCGAAGTTCTGATGAGCTCAAGACACAAATGCGCACCATTGTGCAACAGCTTCAACTCCCCAAGGCCATGTACAACCCGTCCAAGTACCCGAATCCTGCCCTTCAATGGCACTACAAGATTCTCCAGGCGCTTGCGCTGGAAGAAGAGGTGCCTGAGAAGGCTGAGGATACGACTGAGCCCAAGTTCAAGGCCATCAGCAAGCGAGCTGGTGGTTACCTTGAAGATTGGTCGGAAACACTGGAGGGTGAAGCCGGACGTGTTTCTAGTGCTAAGTCCACTAAGCGCGAGGCAGACGATGATGATGTGAAGCCAACCAAGAGGAGCAGAGGCTCATCGGAGAAGCCCTCTGGGTCTTCACTCTCGACTTCTCAGCTGAAGACAGCGATTGAGAGCGGTGGCATCACCAAGATGACGGTGGTGCAACTCAGAGACTTGCTGGGGGCCAAAGGCTTGAGCACAGCTGGTCGCAAGATGGACCTGATTGAGAGAGTTGAACAGTGGGTGGAAGAAAATTCTTAGGACACGGCCTTTATGGTTGTGTGTTGTATATTGGCTTATAGTTGAGTTTGGGCGTTTTCTGGCCTACGAGGCCATGCGGTAATCCGAGTGTATTTGTATTGTATAGACGACAAGATGAAAGTGCTTGTTCTCAATTCAGCGTCAGCGTGTGCATGTTGGAGCGACTATCAGCTGCAATTCACAGGCGAAGCGATTGATATCTTCAATAACAACCAACTGCCGTCAGTTCTCAACCTCATCAAACTGGGAATAGACGAGTCAAAATCACCTTTAAAACATCTTTCAATTAAAGTTGATATCCGTTGAGGGTGGTGATGGATGATATGCCCACGCCACCGTTGAGTGGTGGGCGCACACCCAAGCCTCAGGCTGAGGAGCCGCCGCCGGGTCACAGAACCCACACCCCTGTCATCTCCTCCCCCAACCCACCACTACTCGCGAACGCGAAGCGTCCAGGCCCGCCAGCGCCATCGCGGACTCCTCACAGGCTTTCATCGTCAGCGCCCGCCAGCAGCAGAAGCTCATCGCCTCAGCAGGAGCCAGGCTCGGCTCAGTACCTCGACAGGCTGCTCCGCCTGGTCCGATGCCGCCGTGCCCTACGCTCCAGCTCCAGCTCCGCCATGGCTGACTTCCTCGCGAGCTTCGGTCTCGGCGCGCAGACGCCCGCCGCGTCCAGTAACCCGCAGTGCGATTCGGTCCAGGATTTGCAGCTTCACCTCCGCGGCGCTCTCGATGCCAAGGTCACCCCGAACCGCGCCGAGCATCTGTCCATCACAATCGAGCTGAGGGCCACCGTCCGCTTCCAGCTTGCCGTCGAGCCCGAGAATGGCGCCCTCGATAATCTCAATAATATTGACCCGTTGATGGGAGGAATGCGCTCGGCGAGTGTTTCCGCTGATCAATCTGGGGGACAGCTCTCTCGGGTTGTTTTTGCTAATGACACCCTGATGAACCAACCGCAAGATGATCCGGCTCTGCAACGATCTGTCGCAAAACACATTATCGGTCTTGTCAGCGCAACAGATGGTAGCACTTGGAGTGTTCGAGAAGTATCGCGAGGGTCGCAAGGCTGGACTTTTACGTATCTGTGCAAGGACTCTTATCAGCAATGGAATCGACAAACTTCAAAGAACCCAACCAAGGCGATTGTGGGCGAGTTTAGTCAACGGGACCCAGACCCAGTTCTGCATGGTAAGTTCAGAATGTCCCATGAATGGTTCAATTTTTGATCCCATGTATCAGCTCGACCTGCATTTGACTGCCGCGGATGCGTCACCATTGCATTTAATCGCAACAGCCGTGCAATCACGGTCAAATACGACCACACACCTATGCACAAGACAGTTGCTCAGCTTGCCGAGTACTTCAAGCCTCCTCCTCGTCAACTAGGCCCCGGCGCTCAGAAACTGCAACAGCAAAAGACTAAGGAAAAGACACCCAAGAAGGCAAAGGGCGAGAAGAGGGAACGAAAGAAGCGGGAAACCAAGGCGCAAGATGAGAATGGAAACCCTCGGAAACGGAAAAAGAAGAATAATGGCGCAGCTCAACCTACTGCTCCTGATGGACCCATGATACCTCCAGACTATCCCGGAGCGCCACCAATTGATGGACAAGCAGGACCTTCCTATGCTGCTGGGGAGCAGACAGATGGAACTGCGCAGAACCAACAAGGATTCGGCGATTATCCTCAGGGTCTGATGGGAGACGCAGCGGCCGCGACTAATGGATCAACAACTCAGACTGGTAGCCAACCTTCAGTCACCTACCCAGTTAATGTCTCGGCAGCTGAAGCAGCACGTCGACGAGAGGCTGCCCTGACGATGCTCAGCAATGCGGGTGTTGAGCCGTCAACTCTGTCAGCTGAGCAGTTCAACATCTTTTCCAACCAGGCACCAGAACTCCAGCGAGAGTCCCTGGGCATGCTTGTCAAGTATGGTGCAGAACGGCTGCGAATTGTTCATCCCGGCAATAGGGAGGGTTCTGCGCAGACGAACGCATCTGCTTCTACCCCGAGCAGTCAGACAACCCCGTCTGGGCCCATGACAACTAAGGAACTTGTGCCCCAGTCTGGTGCTCAGAACAACGTGGGAACAGACAACGAAGCTCCTACTAGCACTGAGGCAGAGGCTGCGGCAGAAGTACCAGAGACAACGAAACGAGGCAAGAGGAAGAAGATGGCCAAATCTCGGACAGCTTGCTTCCCTTGCAAGGCTCGAAAGATTAAGGTAAGTATTCTAGTGATATTAATGACAGTGTCAACTAACAAATGCCAAAGTGTCCAAAGGAGAGGCCTACTTGTACCGAGTGTGAAAGCCACGGCACTGCATGTGAATATGCACCTCAAAAGTCAAGAAACAAGAAGAAGAAGCCTGAAAAATCGGAGCCCATAGTTGTCGAAGACGATGAAGAGGAAGAGGACGAAGAGGAAGAGGACGAAGAAGAAGAGGAGCAGCAACAGGAAGATGCCGAGGAAGACGCTCCTGAGGAGGACAGCACCCAGCGAGATGCATCACAGGACTACTCATACCCTCAGATGAACATTGGAAACATGGTCACAACCACGGATACAACATCTCAGGATCTCCAAAATTCCCAAAATGGCTACTATCAGCCCTCCTCGGGCTTGTCATTGCCTCAGCCAGACCCCTATTTGAATGCACAACAGCCCATGACTGCTGATCCAGGGCTCGTCATGCCACCCAGGCAAACTTATAGCACCGGTATGCCTGAAGTAACACACCCACCACCCCCAGCTCCGGCTCCGGCTGGCACAATTGCTCCCATCGAGTCACGACGATGGACAGCCATCGGACCTGGCAACAAGACGCGGCGAAGTCTCCCGTCTGAACCCGTTCACTCTAACGGGCAAAACGTGCCTGCTGCGAACCCTCAACCCTCTGACTGGGCTCAAAGCTCCAACAACAACATGCCAGCAACAAATGTTTCGTCTGTTTCACCACAGATGGCATATTCTCGGTCTGCCAACCAGAGATCGCGGCAGGTGAACCAGAACGTCTCAAGGGACCATTCACAAATGGGTGATGGAATGCAGCAAGCAACGGCCGTGTCTAATACGGTAATGCAACAAGCTCGTCAGTCACCGGTGGCTGCCGCCGCCATGATGGCCCAGGCACGCAAGTCCCCGTATCAACAGGCTGCTGTTCCTCGTGCTACCTCCCGGCAGAGCCAGCGAAACCAGTCGCGGACTCCTGTAGCTGATCAGACTAGAGGCTATCAGCCACCTGCTGATATGAGCCATCAACACAACACCAGATCATCTACTCGCCATGACACATCCCAAATGACGAATACTTCTGGCTATGGCGAGTATGGGCGGTATGGTAGCACCAACACTGCAACAAGCCACCAGTCGTCTCATCGGGGATACGATCAGACAAGCTCAACGATGCAGCACAACACTGACACAACCAGTCAGACTGCTGCCATGGCCATGTCGATGGCGTCTGGGACGCCCTCTACAATGAGCACCTCATACCCGACTACCACCTCATCTGCAAACCAGTGGTCTAGCTCTTCAGGACGAAATGATCGTTCCTATGGCAGCAACTCTTCATATCACAACCAATCCGCATATTCACAGCCCGCATCCTCCAAGCCTGTCTCGGCATCCAGACAGAACTTTAACATGCGCGGAAGCACACAACAAGACACACGCACAAGCAGCAGCAACTCTTATGGCCAGCAGCAGCAGCAGCAGCAGCAGCAACAGCAGAATTATCCATCTTACTCTGGGCCTACACAGCAGAGTCAGACAGGTAACCAGCCATCAAGCTGGTACTTTCAAGGTTCACACAACAGCTCCATGAACCCAGGGAACCAGTCGTCAGGCTACAGCTACGAATCGTGGTCAGGCGTGTAATGGATTTTGGAACTATAGGCATCATTTAGCAACAACGGTTTGATGATTAAGGGAAAATTGATTTGGTCCATGGGTCAAGGGCAGCGGTTACGGACACGGCCAATGTTTGACTTTATAATTATTCATGTTTAGAGATACCCATGGGAATGTCAAGGGTCAGATGCTGCGTATTATTACTGAGCCATCACGATGTGTATAGCAGTTGTATGCGTTGTTTAAAATCATGATCATTATCCTTTGCGTCGTCTATCCAATTAGTTCTATCCTATCCTCTGTCCTCCATGGTATTTCCACCACTATTCAATGCATTCTCTTCCTTGGTGTTTGTCTGGTTATAACCAGTTCTTCAAGTGTTGGTAGCCCCTATTCGACATGCTCATAGACTGCAAACTTGCTCAGGGCTCGCAGTCTAGCGCCGTAAAAGTAGAGCAGCCAGATACCAATGATACCAATGACACTGAGTCCACCGAGAAGACTGGTACCCTTGGCAACACCCAGGTTATCAAACAACGGCTGAGCAAAGAGTACGCTGCCACAAGCCAGTGCGCTACGGAAGAAGTCGTTGGCGGCAAACAGACTGGCAGCGTACATGGGATAACTCAGGGGGATGTAGACAAAGATACACTGCATGACGATGAAGACTGTAGCACCGTATATAGTGATGCCAATTGTCGGGGCGATCCAGTGGATCGACTTGCGGGCTGTCCAAGCGAAGAGGAATAGACCGATCGTTGGGCCGATGGACGCTAGCAGAGCGGGAGCGAGACGGGCTTCTTGGACGGGCCAGCCGCGCTTGGCGATGCGAGGGTCCATGTAGTAGTAGAGGTAGGCGACGTAGATGGCTACTCCGATGATGCACGATACGAGAACACAGAGGAAGACGAGACCGATCTCGCCGAGGTTCATGCCGTAGTAGACGGGGTAGACACGGGGGAAGACCTCGAAGACTAGTACAGTTAGAACTGAGGACTTGTAGGGGATGAGAGTAGCACTTACATGAATAGTAGATACCGTAGATAATGGCGGTATACACCTGCACGAAAAGCACAGCAGGATCCTTGATAGTAATCTCCATAGGCTTGATGAGAGCATCGAGAGCAATAGAAGAAACCTTCATATTGCGCTGGTCAATCTCGCTCTGCGACATGAAGCGGTCGTTTCCCGTAAGCTTGCGAAGACGCTTGGCCCGACGGAGGAGGATGTTGGCACCGCTCGTCTCGGGGAGGAGAAGGAACATCAGGATGAAGATGGGGGCGGAGGCCCAGATGCTTTCGTATAGGGACCAGCGCCAGGACTTGGCGGGGACAGCGAAGCCGCTGAGCAGGGGACCGAGGGCAGCTTGAAGATGTTAGTTTTGATCTGCTGGGGAGGAGGAGATAGGGGATACTTACGTCCACAGTAGGCGGCAGAGACCCAAGCCATCATGGCGTAGGGGAGAGCCATGAGACTGTAGATATCACCGAGGGATGCACCGCCAGATGCAAGACAAGGCGAGCCGAAGAAGCCCTGAAGGAATCGCAGAACCATAAGGCCGGGGTAATTGCCAACAAAAGCTGTTGGGATGGAAATGATGACGAAAAGGAACATGGTGACAATGTAAACAGGGTTACGGCCGATGCGAGGAATCTCACTCAGGGGCGAGAACAGCAAAGGACCAATACCATATCCCAGAACATACAGCGCCAGACCGAGCGTAGCCTTGAGTTGACTCACACCAAAAGCCTTCATGACACCCTCAGTCGACGAGGTATAGATGGCCGAGGAAGTGTAAACCACAAAGGTGTATAGACAGATGATGAGCGAGATGCCCAACCTCTTGTTGTTGGACCAGTTATGCGGGTTATCAGCATCATCGCTATAATACCAATCGACGAGGATAGCACCATCCTTTGTCTTTTTAGGAACAATAGGAATAGACTGAACCTTTTCAATCTCGTGCTCCTCATCGACGCGCATTCTATCAGCAGTATAAGCCTGCGTATCCTGCGCCGAGCGAGTCCGCTGCAGCCTCAGGGGAGGTCTGTCAGCCTTTTCAGGATCCTCATCGTGCTCTGGCTTCTTTGGCTTTGGCTTTGTGTCGTCGTCTGCTGCGACGGTTGATGAGGCCGAGGATGCGGCGACTGTTAGGTTTTCGATAGGGGCGTCTTCGACGATTGCGTCGGGGTTGTTCACGAGTGTGATCCATGGGTCGGGGAGCTTGAAGTCTTCCTTTTCTTCTGGATACTTGAGATACTTGTTTCGTGTGACGAAGCGGATGACTTGCCCCAGGGGAGCGTCTCGGATTATGTCTGCCATTGTGTTTGATTGTAGTTTGCTGATAACACTCGTGTCTTGTGTGATATCAGAGCTGAGATGGAGGTTGAAGCTTGTCGAGTCTACTCATTAACTACAGCGGCATCATGACATCTTATACACGTCCGCCCCAACAACCACACCGGTCTTCGCACATAATACTTCCCCGCGATCTCTCATGCTTGCTGGGTAATCAACCTCGACGCCACGGAGATAGAAGCTCGGAGTTGCAGATGAGAGCGAATACACACTACCGCATGCCACTCCAGCGGCTTGTAAATCGCACTCGGACTAACTCGTATGCGCCCATTACCAATCTTTACTTGTGGCTGGCTCGGTGCTCGGTGTTGTAAGAAGTTGAGCTTCTTAGCTAAAGCACACACAAGCTAGCCCAAGAGCCCGCGTGGTGGCATCCAAGTGGATGCACGCCACAGAGTCCAAGATTGCAAATCTACCCTCTTTGTTTCAGTCGGTCTAGCCCTAGGTCCAGCTTAGGGCTGACGCTGACGCGAGAAAAAGCGTGCACCGTAGGTTTTAGAGTTATCGCCGCGTTGCTATCTCCCCCAGAAGCCGAGATTTCCACAATGATGATTACATTTTGAGAGTGTAGACCCTTGTAGTAGAACGGTCTAGATGTACATTCCTTGTTGTATCATAGAGATCGACAGCATGCATGAGGATCTATGAGCACTAGCAATAATCTCGGCTCACGACTTGGCAACGAGATGTTGGATCTTGAAGTGGTTGTTGGATGATGATAAGAAACTTCATCCAGAAGGAATAAGGTGCTTCTCACGTCCTTGGAAGATGCGTGGTTCTCACATCAGATTCTTGCCTCGACTGCCAACTCATTCTCTGACAAGATCAAGATTCGTCTCTTCGTATTAGTCGACCTCGATAGATACGTCATGGTCTTCACCGTCTGGCTGCCACATGCTGTTGAAGCCACACACGTTTCTTAGCTCGGTACGATTAGAAATCGCCCCGTGCTCCCGGAATCAGACTTGCCTAATCGGGCAATCCAATTAATCACCCTCGGCCAGAGTTTCTCGCCGTGCCCCGGACGAGCCGCAATGCCAAGACCCGGCATCCAACAGATCCACGATGCTTATTTCACGGCTCTTGCCCTTCTGCCGTTTCGAACCAATACGGTTGAATGTCCCGCTGGATCCTTTGTGACTCACTCCGTCGAGTCTTGTCCGTCAGCTAGGACTATGCTTCTGAACGTACAGTATCCAGCATGACGGCTTAGCAAAACGTGCGCCCTTCCGTGAGATGACATGACCACGGCTTGATTGGCACCGACCTCCCGGCCGCTGACGGGATCGACGTCCACCGCACATGCGGACCAGAACTCTCCTCGACCTCCATCCCCCGGAAGGCCCGGAGCGGAGCTGAGCTGGCTTACTCGATAACCATAACATATAGGGCCCATCCTGCCGGAACCTCACAGCCAAATCTCACATCTTGCTGCTTGTCACGTCATTGACTCTCGTAGTGAGGAATTGTCTCTGCCACATGATGATTTAGACAACATCTTATCCGCATCTGCGTAGCTCATAGGCCCCGAAGTTGCCGGCTGCCGAGCTGACTGAAAATGTAACCCGTGTATTGGCTGGCCTCATAGCTGTGAGACATACTCGTAGTTTAGTGCTCGGCAGTTCATTCGCTCAGCGCTCCTCCTCAAAGACATCAGACGTGTCGTTCTTTTCCCGCGTCTCAACCCCCTTGGTTCCCTTGCGGCGCTGAGAAAGCAACAACCGCACCATCTTGGCTGGCCCATCATCACCTTGATCAAGTGCGTCCACAATCGGCCATACACGGTTATCCTCCACTTCCAGACCAGCTTTGACAAGGGGCTGAACCCATTCCGCCCGCCGCCATAACTTGGGGTCCTCTTCCCCATTTCTCGACCTATTCGTAATAACACGACTTGCCAGCCTGAACGCAACGTTGAGATCGTCGAATTCGAGGCAGGCCGAGATCATCACGTCATACGCCTTGATGGTATCTCTTGACATCGCCTCGCTCCTAAACATGGAGCTGTAGTCTTTTGCCAGGGTGTGCCTTGTCTTGGCCTGCTCAGTGTTCATCAACAAGTCCCTGAAGAGGAAATGGTCAGGGTTCTTGCCACTGAGAAAGGCAAAATCGCGGTACAGAGGCATGGCAGCCTCTGTGCCACGTTCTTGGGCCATGGCTTCCATCGTAACCGAGATAGCCTGTGCCGAAAGATTTCCTCTGTTTTCCTCGAGAGCACCAACTGCCGTGTCGATGCGTTCTGGGTTTTCCTTCAGTGCCTTGTAAATAGTCCTGGTGCTTCCTCGGTCCAGATGAAGACCTGTTTGTTCCATGGTGCTCAGATGCTGGAATGCGCTCCCCAGATTTCCCGCCTTGACGGAGGCTTCGATGAGGGCTTCATAATGCTCCTTGGAGATTTTGACATCCAGGTTACGTAGGATGTTGATAACCTCATGGGCTAAAATCACGTCGCCGTGTCTCGCTGCCGTGCCCAGAACGTTGTCGAGAGTAACGATGGAGGGGTTGTGCATAGGGGTCCTGACAATGCGTGTCCATGCCCAAACCGTCCCTTCGTAGTGATATGCCTGGCTGAAAACATCTAGAGTATGGTAGAGGAGGCTCCTAAAGGCATCATCTGTCCCCTTGGCAGCTCTCCTCTTCTTGAGCATCTCCAGCAGTCCGTCAAAGAGGCCTACTCTACCAAATTCGATGATGAACGCGTCGTAGACCCAAAGCTCAACCCTTCCTTCTTGCTCAAAGAACTCCTCAAACTTTGACAGGGCAAGCTCGTGCTGTCCTTCCCGGAGCATTCCCACAATGATGTCTTGCTTGGCGCTTCTGGTGAATTCGAACCAGTAACTCTGCATTATCTCGATTACCCGCTGGCGTACGACGTAGTCGGGGTGGATGGCCAAAACCTGCAGGGCGCTGTAGCAGAGAGTTGGCGTAGGAGGAATGTTCTGGTCGGCCATGTCATCCAGCAGCTTTTCAACTCCTCGGGATGAGCCTGCGGGATCTACCAGGGCGTCCATCATACACTCGTAGACAAACGCATCGAGGGGGTAGCCGTGCTGGTTGACAAGGAACCTGACCAGATGGGTCACTCTCTTATGACGATTCGGCACTTTTCCAACTTGTCCACGGCCGTTTGGCATCCGTAGCACTCTGAGAGTTTCCACAATTGCTTCGGTGCTCGTATGATCAAGATGCGGCGATGCTTGCCTGAGAAGAGGATTCTTCGAGCCTCTGCTGGTGTTGTACCGTTCCTCCGGTGGAACAGGGCTTCGGGACCTCCTCCTTCTAGAACTAGTCCCATTCCCACCACTTTCTGGTTCAAATGTTCGAAAGAATTCATCGAGACTTCCCACACGTCGAGGAGGGCGCTTGTCACCCGAAGCTTTGGTAGTATTTCGGCGACACTGGGTCACGGTCGATCGATGCGTCGGTAGGTGAAGTTGCGAATTGAAGCTCCGAGGCAAGGAGTATCCGTCCAATGCCGGACGCAAGCAGCGCCAAAGCCCATCTGGCAACAATTGCGGGCGGCTCATGGTTTCTGAGGAATTATCATGGTTCTTCAGAGCTTGAATTTGGTCGGCATTTGCGTTTGAATTCCTTGGCGGAACTCTTCCGCCGTTGGAGAATATCTCTAAAAGCATGGTTATGCAACTGCGGGGACAAATAGCCGCGCAGAGCCGCCCCTCCTCTCAGCGCTCACCTTGGATTCACCGAGAAGCTGCTCCACTGAGTTGTTCCATTCTCAACATTCCCTTTCCAGCGCGCGCATCACACATCACATAGCCGCTGGCGCAGACCCGACACCATGGTACGTTCGCATGACCCTCGGACACCCAATTTCGAGGCCAACAACATCTCTCACGCCTCTTCACTCTCCGGCGCATCGCACAACGCAGCAAGAGCTAACCGCTTCTCCAAACATAGCTACCCCTCGGTCTACTAAACGCGGCCCAAGGCCACCCCATGCTGGTCGAACTTAAGAATGGCGAGACTCTCAACGGACATCTGGTTTCCTGCGACACATGGATGAACCTTACACTCAGGGAGGTGGTCCAGACCAGCCCTGTACGTGCACCCGGCGAGGACGATAGCTACAAAGGGAGATGCTAACCGGGACGCAGGAGGGCGACAAGTTTGTGCGGTTACCGGAGGTTTACGTCAAAGGAAACAACGTATGTTGCAATCTCGAGACTTGCGCACAAATGCTGAGGAGAAACGCTGACGACGAATAGATCAAATACCTTAGAGTGCCAGACGAGATTATCGACCAGGTTAGCGAGTCCCAGAGAGGTCAGCAAGGAAACTTCCGCGGCGGACGAGGAGGACAGTCAAGAGGCGATCACGGTGGACGAGGCGGTGACCGTGGACGCGGTCGTGGTGGTGGTAGAGGCCGCGGACGAGGACGAGGTCAATAAGATTGCTACTATGCCTCTGACGATACCCTCCATGCACAGTCAGAAGTGGCTATGCATTACTCCCGCCACAAAGGAATGCTCGATATCCAAGAAAGGGAACCTGTCCCTTGATATCGTGCCAACGCCTCGGGTTCTCACTCATGGGGCCCTACCCTAAAGAAAGTGGACGACAATCCCACCCAAGACAAATCAGGGGACAGGCGGGCATGGATAGTACAACGTTGTGGGCATATCCTCACTTACGAGGTATGCCAGTCAACATCACTGGATTCAAAGACAGCGCAGTTACGGTAATTGAAGCCGAAATATCGTCTATTCTATGCATAAATCATTCTACTCGGTCTATCCCGTGCAGATCCCATCAGCACCACATGCCTAACAAGGCCTTACTGTGGCCGCCCATATACCTCATTAGAACGCGCAAGACAACATATGGAAACAGATGTTTATCAAAACTCCCGTTGTAAGCCCACGTGGCTAAGATGTACACAATCCTCCCTAATGTATTTAAAAGTTGGCAACAGCCACGGCAATAGCCTGGCTATCCGAGTGTGAGATGGACAGAGTAATGTCCTTCACACCAGCCTTCTGAGCAGCGGCGGCAGCATCACCGTGAAGCTGAGAACTGGTTAGCATTATTCGAACTTGTAGGGATAAGTGAACTTACAGAGACAGTAGGGGCACCGTTCTCTCCCTTGACAATCTCAATGTCCTTCATGGCAGCACCGGCACCTTGGCTGGCGACACCCAGGGACTTGAAGACGGCCTCCTTGGCACTCCAGCGACCAGCGAAAGAGCTCTGGGGGCTGGGGGCCTGGCGGCAGTAGGCAATCTCCTCGGCGGTAAAGTTGCGCTCGACAAAGGTGTGATTGTCAATGTTGACGGCCGAGATATCCTCGACATCAACGCCGACCTGGCTATTCTTGTTGGCCACCTTGAGGGCAAGGGCCTCCATGACCTGCTCCGTCTCCTTAGCCTTGGTAGACGAGACAACCTTCTCCGACTTCTTCATGAAGTCGGCAGAGAACTTGAGCTCGGAGGTCTTCTTGTCCTCGCTGACACGGGCATCAGGGTTCAGCAGCACCTTGCTGAGCTGCTCATCGCTGTAAGGAGCGTTGTTCTTGGCGACGAACAGGGTGTTGTTGATGAAACCGTCGTGGAAGTAGCGGTAGGCCTTCTTCTGACGAGCCTCGACCTTGTTGCAGTACTCCAGGTAGGTCTTCTCATCAAGGGTGGCGAAGAGGTACTTGGGGTGGATACCAATGGCCTGAGCACCCTTCTGACCGAAACCGAAAGAAGTGACGGAGAAGGCCTTGATGCCGTCGGTCTGGATGCTTCGGCTGGGGTAGACGATGAGATCGTACTGCTCCATGACGGGGTCGACGTTGTCGGCGTTGCGGTTGCCAGGGACCAAACCAGTGTTGAGGACCTGGAGACAGCCGTTCATCATCCAAGCACCGGCAGCACCCTTGGGGTGACCAGTGAGGTACTTCTGGAAGATACCCAAGACAGCGTTACCCTTGGTACGGCCAAGGTGACGGAGCTGCTGGCAGATGACGTTGGACTCGTTCTTGTCGTTGGCCTTGGTGGAAGTTCCGTGGAATGAAGCGACATCAAGGTCATCAACGGTAAGACCCCAGGTGGCGAGGGCACCACGGAGAGGAGCAATGCTGGGGTCGCTCTTCCAGAAGTTGTTGCCCATGCTGCGGAGAAGCTCCTTCTCCTGGCGAGCAGCCTCCTTCTCAATGTGAGTGAAGCGGTCCTGGGCGTACTCCTTCTCGTCAAACTCGCCGCCCTGAGCCTTCATAGCGTCAATCTCATCATGGACGTACTCCAGCTCAGACTCCTGCCACTGCTTAATCTGCTTCTTGCGGCGCTCAATCTGGCGGCGACGGTAGTTGATGTCGAGCAGAGGCGAGGGGAACTTGCCAGGGTTCTCACGAGCGGTGGTGAGGACACCCTGTCCGGGAGCAGGGACGGAGCGGCCAATCTTGTCAGAGGCGGTGGTGGTGAGAGCGAGGACACCGTGAATGGGGACACCCATATCAAGAGCGAGCCTGGCAGTCATGATGATCTGGATACCGCAACCCTGGGACTCCATGAAGCCATTTCGGGTAGTGGTGGTAGGACGAGACATCTCCTTGGGAGTGCGACCATGAGCCAACTCATCAACGGTGTTGCTGGTGGCCTTCATGTTGGCGAACTCGTAAGAGCCTTCCTCACCGAGGTCATCGAAACCACCGACGAAGCAGATGCGGGCCTTGCCCTCCATGATGGTCTCGTAACCAACATCGACGGACTCAACAGCAGTGGCACAAGCACCGACAGGAGTCTTGATAGGACCAGAAGAAGACATCAACAACATGTTAACCCAGGCAGACATGGTGTTGATGAAAGACTCCTGAAGAATGTCGTTCTGGACAGGCTGGTCAAGGAAGCGAGTACGGTGCATGTCACGGAGGGCAGCAGCACCACCCATACCGGAACCAACACAGTTACCAACCTCAGAGACGTGGACATACTTGTAGAACTCGTAAGGATCGGTGATACCGCAAGACAGCAGAGCCTCGGCAGTGGAAACAAGCAGGAAGAGGGTGACGGGGTCGACCTGGGAGATGATGTCCTCGGGCACACCATATCGCTTGGGGTCCCAGCCGGTAGGGATCTGACCAGCGACAAGGCGGTCGAAGCGGAGAGCCTTGGGGATCCAGAGGGAAGCACCCTTCCTCAAGCGAACAATGTACTCGCCGCTGTCAGGAATCTCAAAGACCTCAACCTTGTCACCGTGCTCACGCTTGAACTCATCGGCGGTCTCCTTGGAGGCCTCGAAGGGCTCAAGATCCTCCTCGATGACGACCTCGTGAAGGAACTGCTTCTTGTTGGGGTCGTAACCCTGGAACAGCTCAGGCTCAATCAGGCGGATACCAGAGTGCTCGAGGATAAATTTCTCGTACTTCTGCTTCACGTCCTTGTCGTCAACGGGCTCACCAGTCTTGGCATCAACCCAACCGGCGTAAGGCTGACCCTTGACCGGACCGTTGTGGTTCTTGATAAGACCCATGATCCAGGCCATCTCGACGCAACCCTCAAGAGAGAACTCGCCGAAAGCCTCCATCTCCCATCGGGTACGGGAGTTACCCCAGGGACCAACTTCAGCGAAACCAGTGACAACGACAACCTTCTCAAGGTCGACCATGCCCTTGAGCCTGTCATTGAGAGGCTCAATCTCCTTCTTCCAGTCAGGTCGGTTGGGGAAGTCGAACTTGATGTTGGCACGGGGCTCAATGGTCTTCTTCTTGTAGAGAACCTCGGAAGCGGCACCGTTGACAATGGTGTTCTCAATGGCGCTCTCCTTGCTGACAGCCCGGCGGACCTCGCTGGTCTCCATGATGTCCTTGCGGAGCTTGGTCATGGTCTCGTTCAGGTTGGGGATGAACTGAAGACCACCGTTGAGATCGGCAAAAACAGGCTCAGACTGGCACAGATCGACCAGAGAAGGAGACATGAGGCCGAGAAGGTTGAAAGCCATCTCCTGCTGAGAGAAGGTGCGGACGCCAAAGGCCTCGACACCCTCAGCGACGATGTTGTTGCCAGACATGAGACCAGTGCCTCGGGTCCAGCCAATGACAGCACCGCAGATGGTGAGGTAGTTGGCCCAGCTCTCGGAGTGCCACCTGTTGAAGAGGGTCTCAAGACCAAGCTTGGACTCAGAGTAGAGACCGTCGCTACCAAAGGTACCGTGGTTGGGAGACAGGGGCAGGACGACCTGAGCAGGTCGGGTCTCGAAACCGCGCTCGGTCTTCTGGGCCTTGACGCATCCGAGGAGGCGGATAAGGTTGGTAAGCATGATACGGTGAGCGAGCTCAGACTTGGAGTCGATGCTGTCAATCTCGCGGCCGTTCTCAGAGATGGCAGCGAAGGGCACAATGAAGTCAAGATCCCAGCCAAGACCGGTCTTGGTGTCATAGATGTACTCGACGAGGGCCTCGACGTCCTGCTTGCTGCCCTGATTGAAGGGAACAACAACGATTTGGGAACCACGAGAGCCATAGCGAGTGTACATAGCCTGGTAATACTCGGTAACCTCTCGAGAAAAGCGGCTGGTGGTAACGATGACCTTGGCGCCACCGCTGATAAGACCCTGGAGAACCTCAGCACCGATGGAACCGGCGCCAGCACCAGTCATGAGAACGTGCTTGTTCTGGAAGGTGACACCAGACTTGGCAGCGTCCTCTAGACAGTTCAGGTAGACTCCAGTAAGCTTCTTGCTGTAGTCCCAGCCGTGAAGAGTCTTCTTCTTGAGGTGGAGGAAGGGGATGGTCTCGACCTTGCCCTTGGACTGGCTGGTAGCCTTCAGACCCTTTCGGCCCTTGCCGTTGTCCTTGGGCAGGATTTGGCTCTCGTTCATGGCGAGAGAGCGTAGAACCTCACCATACAAGCTCTTGATCTCGAGCTGGGAGGTCTTGGACATCTTGTGCTGCTGCTTGATGAGCTTGTAGATACGCTGAAGGTCATTCTGAACCTTGGTGCGGTTGCCGTACTCAGAGATCTTGCCACCCTCAGCCATCTGCTGAACGTAGTGCTCCAGCTTGCGGCAGCTAGTACGGGGGACTTCCTCGTAGTTGAGGTTGCCTCGGGCGTCGACTGTAGTCCTGGGGCCGGTAGGAACAGCGACATCCTTGTAGACAGGGGCAACATCGAGAACCTCCTTGCAGTTCTCGATAAGCTGCTCTCCAAGCTCCTTAGCGAGCTTGTAAGTCTCGCCTCGCTCAGTGGGGCAGTTGTCAATGTGGTACTGCATGAAGTCTAGGAGCTTGGGGTTGGAGCGGTTCATGATGCGGATGCACTGGCTGACAATCTCACGGTCGACAACCTGGAGACGACCAAAGATGATGTCAAAGTACATGTTGAGGGCGTCCTGACGAGCCCAGTTCCATGATGAGTCGTAGGTGCGGGCCTTGAGAGGGCTGAAGACAGGCTCGATACCGGCAGCATAGAAG